CGGTCCGTTGCTGGTCAAGGGTAAAGACCATATCTTCGTCAAGGTTTGCAGCATGCTCGATATCCATGTCTTCCGCATCAGTAGAGCTTCCGCTCGATGGGAGGATTGGCGGTGTTTCCCATATTGGTGGATCATTTTGTGGTTCGTGCCAATGCAATGGAAGAAGATCTTCAGTATTGAATGCGGCGAACGGAGAGTACGAATCATCTGCGCATCTGCAGTCATTCGGATTTCCATTTAAACGAGCTTCGCTGCCGAAGTGTTGGCCAGTGAGATGTGAGCTTGATTCGTCTCTGACAGGAACCACGATATCGTCTTCAAAGTCCTGGGAGCCCGCGGAGTTAGAAGCGGCAGTATTTGAAACACTTCTGTTATTCATGTTGATGATAAGTTTTAATGTGGGAAGAAACGAACGGCAGACAACGGGTGAGCGAGAAGAGTTGGAGAGAGAGCAAAAGAATATGCAGAGAAAACGAGAGAGAAAATAAAAAAGAGCATGAAGGGATTCCCGAGAAAACAGGAATCACTAATAGGCATGTATGTACTTGTGAATGAGGCGGGCGAATACATAATCTATATGGGGACTGCTGTTCGAAGAAAGGTTTGTATACCACCGGAGTACGGTTTGTATATGGTGATTTTCAAATAAGTTCTACGCTACAATCAAGTCGCGCAGAGCTATAGGTTGACAGAGTTTCAGGCTGCGTGATGTACGATGCTGAGGTCTTATGGCCCCGACAGACGCTGAGGCGGCGGCTTGAGAGTAATCGTGTATGAAGGTGTCTTCGTGAAACAAAAAATACTTCGAGAATGCTCACTTTCGTAAAGTGGGGCCTCCAAGTGGGACAACAGGAAGTTGGGATGATAGTGTGAAGTCTAAAACTAGTGAAAGAGGAAATTTACAATCGGCAAAGGGGGCTGCAGGATGACGGATGCGATCACGCAGGACCATTGTAAACGGATGAATTCGAAATCCGCGTATCCACCGGGTCTTGGAGACGCCTATGTGCCGATGACTAGGCAAGGATGGGAGAGCTCGATGTTTGTCGGTCTGCCGCGGAGACGGGCGTATGACAGATTAATGTGGAATGAGAAGATGGTGAATCCCGGCGATTGGGCAGGATGCCTTTTTTATGTCGTCATTGCAATTCACCACGGCGGAGCTCGCTCAAGTTCTGTTGTGTCACTCCGAGAGCTGAGCGGTGCCCGATAAACGATTGAGTCCGTCTCACCAGTGGCGGTAATGCGCGCCACCGCTGTCGCTTCTAACGGTGCGTTGTAAACAAGGCAAGGTTTCCCGTCGTCCTCTTTGAAACGGCCGTCAATGTAGAGGTCCGTCCACATCAACGAAGTATCTTGCACTCTCGAAAGCCCTCGACGCATGGACCCAGAAGACAAACCCAAATATTATGAACCTCGTCATCAAGATATCCGGCCACTAGGCATTCAGGGATAGAGGTCCTCCATTCGGAGAACATGAAAGACGTCCAGGCAGATCTATACTTTATGATCAATTGTTTCTTAGTGATACTATTACCCAAGGGTACTGTGTACGACACCTATTTCCAGTGGAGGTTTCAGTGTGTGTTGCTACTGTATGAAACGGGTTATTAGGAAGGAATGTTCTGGATGACCGTGTCTAGCTCATTGCAAGTTCGAGCAGCCAGTGTTGAGTTTCTACTCTAACTGCACTGTAATCATTTTTTATTAATTATATCTCTTTAATGGAAATGTGTTTCAGATACTGTAGTTGTGAAGACGCTTTAGCACGGGTTTGGGAAAGCAGAAACGCACCGTGGAGTGGACACGGGGAGAAACAAGTGAGTCGCGTGGAGTAGACTTGAATTCCTGGGGGTCAGTACAGTACGAAAGAGGAGAAATGCTAATGCTGTCTCGTTTCGCTTTGCGCCAGCGAGAGTACTATAGATAAGAAAGACTTTCTTTTGCGCGAAGGTGAGCGAACCCTCACGTTCGCGCAATCGTTAGAAGGAGAGTTAAGGGGCGGGATGAATGGTGCAAACGGCGATCCAACCGGACCTTGTGATCCCAGGCGTCGTCATTTTGTGGGATGCGTCCTTCCACGTGTATGACACAGAAGCATGGGCAGGCGATCACTTACTGGCATCTCGCAAGTTGTTGTCACTCGACAATTGACCCTCAAGAATATGTCGAGCCTGTGCACCGGTACGTGTATGAGAAGTATCATAAATTATTGTGAATTAGAATATAGAGTAACAGGATTCCCCAATGATACCACAGTACCAGGGTACCCTTGTACTGTAGTATCGTTACCTTGGCAGTCAGCTAGCATTGGTGCCAAGCACACGTAAATGCGGCTATGATGAATGAAGCCAATTCAGGGGAGAACGTCAGCATCAATCGGAGGGGGCGGTCGAGCCAGGGTGCGAGTGCGGGTTCACGTGTCATGCCATAACGGCGATTTGCAATTCGTTGTTTTTCCAGGTAGGCACATGCTAGACCAGCTACTGATCAACCAGTGGTTATTGCAAGCGGGGACGAGGTAGCATTCCGAACGTTGGGCGTGTTGAGATAGATGAAATGCCGCTTTGGTTCACTCACGGGAGGGTCGGGCTTTCCTGGATGAGCATGGAGATGCGCTGAATCGACTGGGACATAGTGGCAGCGCGTGTGAGAGTGGCAGCGCGTGTGAGAGTGGCAGAGAGTGTGAGAGTGGCAGTGAGTGTGAGAGTGACACACGCATAGTTGTTTACACTTTGCATGTTCTGGACCAAGCCCGGGCTGCATGCACGGGAGATGTCGGCGCTCATTCACAACAGTCTTGAACAGCTGCAAGTAGGTATGGAAAGCTTGGATTCAATGCTTTTTCGATGGCGTTCGAGACAGTATCACTGTCTCTACGTTTTCACGTGCAGATTTAAACATAAACCACGCGTATGTGCGCGAAAGGCTAATCATGTACTTGTCACAGGCCGCTATTCTTTTCTCCGATTGACGTGCCCTAAGGTTACAGTCTCTATTCTCCGTTTGGCTCATTTACGTCCTGTGTATTGTGATCGGATGTTACGCGGCCCAACTGGATTCAGTAAGCCACCAAAAACCGGGCAGTCAGGGCTCCTATTCAATGAATTCGAAAGACGTCATTAAAACACGTTTCATCCTCAAACTTCTAGGACACTGCATTCCCCTCATTCCACACTTTCCTATCATATCCTCACGTCCCCGATCACATACATCCAATTCTTTCATCCCCGGTCAGACATTGGTGCAGAAAAGATAACGCGTATCGCCAAGACCTTGTGGAAACACTGAATTCGAATTTTCCTAGTATAGGTCCTCTGCGACCACATCTGTCCCTCCCGGCGATCTTCTGTGCCCAGCGTGAAAGTTCTCTGTCATAAGTGTTGGGCCTCATCACTGTTACCCAGGCTCCCTGTTGTCTCGCCCGAGGGCACTCCTTTTGCAACACCGCATAAAAGTGTCCATACCCTGCGCCCGTTTTGTGAGAAACAATCGCAAAATATGATCTTCAGGCTTTGCTGCATCTCTTATCGGAGCTCTGAGACTTCAACCGCAAGCACTCATGAAGCCCAGAACCTTGATTTTGTTGCTATGCCTAAGTCGACTGTCGTGAAGAACGCGTTTGAAAATCATCAGCTTCGTGCCTAAATAGATTCATAGCCTCCAACAAAATTCTATGTATCGAACAACTAGGTTGAAGTTTACTCAAGTCACCTAGAAATCTAGACGCCGACAACGAGCGCGGGAGAGTTCAGGTCCACTGGAGCATGATGCAGAAGGAGGATGCCATTATGAAAGCTTGCCAGAAGTGTGTGTCGCCAGAGCCGGATGTCTAACTTATTAGCTTTTTTGTTCAGTCATGTCCTGTTTCTAACTAATGTTAGGGACAGGCGGTTAGCTTGTTAATGAATGCTCTTCGAGAATCGTGTCAGTTGTTCTTTCAACGCGCCATTAATTTTGGGTTTCTACTGCAACTGTACTGTAATACATCGGATACAGTATATCTTGAGTCTATGAAACGGGAATGGAGCTCGATATTGTGAAGACACTGAAGCATGAGTTGAAGAAAAACGGACAAGCGTCGTGAAGTGGGCACGGAGAGGGACGAGCGCGTTGTGTGGAGTGGACTTGAATTCTGGAGGTAAAGTATAGTATGAAAGAAGATGACTGCCGCTTCTGTCTTCCCTCGTCTTACATCGACGAGACTAGATAAGACAGCGAAATCGTTCACGGAATTCGAATCCTTCCACAAAGGGAAATGGTTTAAAGACACTGTGCAGTACTGTCTTGAGAGTTTCTCTCCAGTCTGGCGCCTTCGCATGCCCCGTTAAACCCTTGCGGGGCCAGTCACCAAGACATTCCCTCGCACACTACTGTATGATACGGGCGGGGTGATGAGTCGCAGCGAGAATTAGAGAAGAAACGGCGTATTGAAGGCGATGAGTCTTCAAGACTACGATTCCAATGATCACCGATACCCCTCTCCCCCGAGGAGCCGGGGCCCACCGGCGCTTTCCAGAGTCGGCGACGGGGTGCCGTAGTGGTGGTGTCTCCTTTGGCAGTGCTCTTGGTTTGGAAGGACCTGCAGAGACCAACCGTCTCGAGTGAAATGATGCGCAATTACCCTTTTTTTCGAAAATTTTAGAGTTTGCTTTTCAAGATACCACGTCAACCAGCGGCTCGTCTAACAGGCGACGTTTCACGCCGTTCCTCGCCGCTCTCGCCTCACCGAGCAGTGCACACCTCCTCGCTTCTGCCTATCTTTCTTTCATGTTCTTGAATGAACTATCTATGGAAATACGCCACGTTCCCATGTTTTGTTTTCCAGCAGGTAAGCGAACTACACTCTGAAAAATCCCAACTGCTCGGTCAATACGTGCTCACTATCCAAATTGCACTGTCCCAGTTTCGACGTCGACCTTGCTTTCCTCCGGCGAATTCATGTTCTGTCAAATAGTCCAACCTAGCGTCTCCATTACGAAATTCATCTGTTCGCTACGATGGCGAGTACTGTCGAACCGGATGAACGCGTTGGAATCATTGTCCCCCCTCCCGAAGTAAAGGGGATTCTGGAAACGACGGCAACCTACGTAGGTAAGAAACCTGCGTTAGAGGCTCGCGTCTTGCAGAAGCATAACCAAGACCCACGGTTCTCATTTCTCAAAGTCTCTGATCCCTACTACGCCTACTACTGCAGCAAGGTCGCCGAAGCTCGTGCAGCCGCGACTGGACAACCAGCACCTGTTCAGAGTATTTCAAGTGAGGCTGAGAAAGGAAAGGAAATAATCACAGAAGGGCAACCCCTATCATCGAAGGATCAAATTCACGCGAAGGATGGACAGGTGCCGTCTGCTTCGCAGGCCACGGCGGACGACGAACCGGTTAGAGGGAGCAAGGACGCCGCTGATGAAAAGATGACGACAAGCGCAACTGCAAAAGTTTCGTTTCTGAAATCAATACGAGCTAAAGAAGAAGCAGCACGTCAAGAGCCGCGCGAACCACCACCAGAAGACCTCTTTACCCTGATAAGCATGGCACCTCAACCCCATGCTCTGGGTCTCGAAGTCATGAAACTTGCTGCACAATTTGTTGCGAAGAATGGGCGAGAATTTCTTACCGCGCTGAGGTCAAAAGAGTCCCGAAACAGCTTATTCGATTTCTTGAGACCCATGCACCCCCACTTCATTGTGTTTCAGCGCCTCGTCGACGCATATAGAGCTATTATGACTGAGGGCAATGCTTCAAATTTTTTACCAAAAGGCCATAACGTACGCGAATGTGAAAAGGCCATAATGCAGGACGTCTGGTATATGCATGATTGGGAATGTCTACGTGCCGAGCGCGAACACGACGCTGCCATGGATGAGTCCGAAAAGGTTAAGGCTGCTCAAATTGATTGGTATGACTTTGTTGTTTTAGAGACGGTGGATATCGACGATGACGAGACCAACCTACCAGCACCTGTGGCAGATGCTAAACAACTCCCCAAAATTCTTGCTGCTACCAGGAAGCTAGAACTAGAAAGAGAAAAGAACCGAGGCGATGTAGATATGGATATCGATACTGATGAAACGCCTAACGGGAGTGTTCTTTCTCAGACAACAGAGAAGCACGGGATGGTTGTAACGGTTGAGGCCGACACGGCTCTCTCTTGGGATCGCATTCGCAAGGAGCCGACTGCTATTCCTGTCAAACAAGTGAATGACGTGAGGGTTGGAAGCATCGCTGACGAACCGACTGTTGTTTTGCCATCAGGGCAACGCGTTCCATTGTCGCAGGCAGAAGCATCAATGCGAGCGGAACTACTCAATCCTTCATACAAAGACGAGCGAGCGCGGGCAGCGGCAAAGAATAGAAAGCAAAATTTGGCAAGAGGGGAGGAGATGGCTAGACATTTAGCTCGATGGGAGCAACAACGGACAGAGGGTGGTGTCTACAATCGGGGAGATCTACAGGAAGCGCTGGCAACACAGCCAAAGTCGTCAGCAGCCGAAGCTGATGTAAGACTAAAGAAAGCGGAACGACTAGGGCCTAAGCTGCCTGGGATGGAGATTGAAGAGCTTTCTCCGCCGGCGAAAAGACGGCGTGTAGAGGCAGCCAAGGAGGCGCTGGAAAAGGCAGCCAAAAAGAAGGCAGCCGAAACTGCAGCCGCAGAGGAGGAAGCAGCAGTGGCGGAGGCAGCAGGCATCGCTACAGAGGAAAAGCTACCTGGTTTGATGACAGCGGATGAATGGCTTCAGAAGCAAGGGCAGCATGCGCAAGTGCGAATAAAAATGCCTAGTCACTCCAACAAGGAATGGAAACTGCAAGGTCAGGAAATGGAGCTCAAGGCACCATTGAAGAAAATGGTGAGTAATTTGAAGAAGGTGATTGAGAAATGGACAAAGCTACCCGCGAAGAAGCAGAAGCTTCACATGGAAGGTGCCGGATTTCTCAAAGATAAGATGACACTCGCGTTCTACAACGTTAGTAACGAAACGACGATCACTTTAGAAGTGAAAGAACGAGGGGGAAGAAAGCGAAACCATTGAAGGCACATACATAGTGTGACGTAAGGATTATTCCAGCGAGGCTGGCTGGCGTCGAAATGATGTGTTTCACCTTAGCGAGTAACTGAAAAAGAGTAGGCGTCATAGTCTGTAAATCATCGTCGAAATGTGTCTCTGTGTATCAAACCGTCCACGGGTGGGATGTCATGTCTCCAGCGTAGGATGGCAAGCACAAGTTGCCATGATAGTGGGAGGAGTCCACCACAAGGATGGAGGGGGGGGTAGCGATGCTATATCAGAAGCAGCGAAAACGGGCACAATTTGGGGCATGAATGCTGACGTGGATATCCAGAGAGCTATTTTCTGTTTGTGCAAACACTGCAAAGCAGTGGAACGCATCACAGGACGCCGTGGGCCAATCATGAGAAGAGTCACCTATCACTTCCATTGGCGTAGTCAGGTTGTAGTTGAAGTCCCAAGATAGGTACTCTGCCGACAGCACGTATCCTTGCTCTCATCCTCCCATCTCACCGCCACTCCCCCTCCGCGGCTTCCCTCCAGGGTCGAGTACAGATGATCCGCGCCTGTACCTGTTTCTACGCAAATCGCATCCCTACCCGGCACACAACACGCTTTAAAGCCCTCGTCTCCAAGTCAAACCGACCCTCCTTTTCAGATTATAATGCTTCAGTAACATCCCTCGACTTTCAAATCCATCTTCCCAGATACTCTCGTGCAAAGCTTCTTGCTTCCGGCGGAATGTATCCCATCTCGACGTCCAACGCAGAGCCCTTTAGCAGGTTTTTCGCTCGCTATTTTGAACACCATCACCCTGCCATAGCCACTCATCTTCGCACCGACCGTGCCGCCTTTGCCGCTGCTGTTTTTCTGTATCGCTTTGACCGTCGCATATCTCCAGAATTTACCAAACAGAGTCTCGACTCTATCGCTCGTGCTATCTCCGAATGTTCGGGCAAGTCGCTCCCGGAATCGAGGAGGCTCTTCGCTGCCGCCGCCAAGAACGCTTCACGGGAATACTTCAGCCATGGATGGGATGATATCAACCCATTCATCCAGGCCAACACTCCGGTCTTATTGGATCTACAAAGGCAAAGCACAAAGCTTAATGCGTTGAGCAAAAGAATCCATGACGCACCTGAGCCAGCCCCAGAAGTGGACCCCGTCGCCCTACGAGCCCTTGCAGACATACATCAACTCGTCCTTGTCTTGGTCTACGCTGATTATTGTTCCACTTGCACAGCTTTGCGTCCTGTTTTTGAGAAAGCCGCACATCTCTCACAAGGCCCTGCGCTTTTTGTCAAGCTCAACGGCCCTCTTTCACCTCAATTCAAACTCTATTACGATGTATCTACCTACCCCACAATTTTGCGATTCGAAGGTCCCGACAACGTCTCTGTTGTCTCTCAGGGGTCTTCTCCAATTGACGTGGACGACCTCGTCGCGCATGCCGAAGACAACCATCCTGGCGAACTCACAATTGACCCAGACTTGATGTCTTCAACTGATTATGGAGATGCACAGTCGGACGACGAAGACAATCCTCGCCGATGGGTCAAAGCACTTAAACGTCAAGGCATTGACGAGATTGATGAGTTGAACAGTGTCCGTAGCACTATCCTCCGTTCGAAATTAGATCATTCTCCTGACGAATGTCAAAATGCGAGCTGCAAGCTTGAGCGATCACGATCACGATCACGATCACACGATACTGCACAGGGTGATGCGCCTCCTGTTTGCGTTCTACTTGGAGGTGGTATGGGGGCAGGGAAGACCACAGCTTTAGGCCTGATTAGAAATACGCCTTTTTGGAAAGAACATGGAGATGACGTTGTCGTTGTTGAGGCTGATGCGTTTAAGATGAGTGATCCCTTGTTTCATGTATTGAGAAGTATCACCCCCAAAGCTGCACGCATTGTGCACCACGATTCAGTCACGGCCGCCGAAGAACTTTTTTTGCAAGCAGTGAACAGTCGAAGGGACGTCGTTTTTGATGGCACAATGAGTTGGGGCGAGTATGCCCAGCAAACTGTGAAGATGCTGACAGATACTGATTATTTATACAAACGCGGGCCTGGATATCGAAAAGAGTCGGATGGAAAGATCACGGAAGTATACTGGGTGCGATCCGCGAAGCGCATGAAACCCGCACCTGCGTATCGAGTTGAACTCGTCGGCGTCACAGCAGATGCCGAGACATCTGTGATGCGGGGGATTGTTCGTCGTATTACAGATGGGAGGGGGGTGGCTGTACCGGATCAGCTGCACTCTCACGCTCTCTTTTCGAAAAATTTTGAGAGCTACATCGAAATCATGGACGCTATTTACCTCTTTGACACAACAATGAGCTCAGACGTGTGGAGTTCGAAGCCGAGTTACGAACAGCAACTGGTGGCGATAAAACCCGGGCTTCTCTTCCAGTCCCCGTCCTCGGATTTTGTGAAGGGCAAAGCCTTGGAGGGCTTTGCTGTGCGGATTACCGAGGCATACGAGCAATTTTTGAGGAAGAAATTGATTAACCCAATGGCGTCAGGCGCCGCGAACCTCTACGTCAAGGTTCCAATAACTCCTTGATACAAGCCGAAATTGATTCACTTCTCCCCATATTATTATCTGAAGTCACTGGAGGCGCACGTAAAATGTATATGCAATGTAAACAACACACATGCTTTGTTATTAGTATGCGCATCGGCTCTAACATCTGCTTACGCCGAAGCATTCAAAGAGAGGGAGAGGGGCTCCGTGCGTTGTTAAGATGCTGGGCGATATTTTTATCCCTTCACGAATCTCATCATTGCACTCGCTTCAGTCGTCGTATGGGATAGCTGATATCTGAATTCGCTCCACTCTGTGCGCCATCCCGCGATACAAATGAAGTGGAATAGAAATATGGAGCTGTGGGGGGTAATGGATATATCTCCTGTGGATGCACTCTCAATATGCCGTCCAAGTATGCCCATGCAAGACCCGTATGGATCTCAGGGTCGGTAGAAGCAATGCGGCTTGTTCACACCAAGCCGCATTGTTTTCAGCAGTCCATTTGCTGCTACTGGTATCTACTACTATAGTTCAAAATTCGCCATATACAAAATCGACGTGTACTGCAGATACACGAACGTGGGGCCTTCCTCACATCTATGTCTAACTTGCAAACTTGTAAATATGCGATACAAACAACAAACCCTTTTTTGTACGATTTTGACAGTTTGAGGCTCTACATGGCCCTGCTAATTCCACTTCATGGAATGCGGGTATAACAGTCACACTCCTTCAACATCGACCCTTAGCTTTACAACCTATATTGTTTGTCAGGATTAAGAAATTGGGTATTTGTGTCCCGCGAAAATAGCACATAGCCTTAGTCAGAATAATGTTTAGGCCCTCATGCAAACGCCTTATCATAATTCACACACGAACGGGTGCAGTACTATGATGATGTCTTGCCGACGACAGCAGTTGTGTGTCTGGCGAATGGAGCATACGAGTTTTCACATTTTGAGACCTTTCCTTTTAAGGAAAGCCCTACGACAGAACGGAAACAGGCTTGCTGTGTGGTCCTAGGAACTGAAACATCTCGTCAGACAAGTGTCTATTGGACCGTTGTCCCTATATGAGGACACTATTCGACCCATTTTATTCTTGACTTGCGCTTCCTCGACAAAAAAGAAAAAGATACCCCCGCCATTGTATTTGACTTCTGACTTGGGGGCAGAAAGAACTTTGTGAGAATTGCATGTTCTTCCTGGTCGCTTTTAGCTATGTCTGGAAAAGAAGCCTTTGTAAACTACCTTCAAACCGCATGCAAAATAACTTGAAATTCAAAAACGCCAGTTTAAAAAAGCAACTTGGTACTCAATCTGCATTACATTCTTTATCTTTCTGCGTATTCAAAGCTGCTATTCCAGTGTTCTGCAGGGTGTTATTGCCGAATACAAATGCGTTAAGGAAATAGTGCCCAAGATATATATTTTAAATGTTCAATTTAATTTATAGTTTTTGCAAAGAAAGGAGCTGTGATCATATAAGGACATCGCCATCCTCATATGAGAACAAGCAAGCCCCGATCAGATAGACACTGGAGAGAAGCAAGATGTGTGACAGAGTTCAGTTCGAGATCTTTGTGTGGGCAGATGAAGAGTTGAATATGTGCCTCTCAAACAAAGAACCAAAGTAGCGGATGGAAGACATGCTCTTATATGGAAATTCTTCTTATTGCGTGGGGTCCATATGACCAGAATTGATCATGCGAACACCTTAGTTTTTGAGATGGTTAGCGACCTGTGAATATCCAATGATTTAGGGTATTCAGTCACGTTCATGAGTGGCTCTCACTCAGATGTATTCATAGTGTCAGAGCATTTAATCATCTCGTCATGAATGCCGGCAGTGCCCGTGTTCTTTTATTCCCTCACTTAATGGTAAAAAGTCAATCCCTGCTCGCTTTACGTAGCTTTTGCTTACGTGCGTTTCGTTTCTAGCGCCAACCGAACAATTTATTTGGGACAATCACCTTCACGAAAGGACCGTCACAATTCGTGGCCTGAAACCATAGAAATGAATCGGTCTACTTGTATTCTGAAAGATCGCCTTCGTAACTTTCGAAACAGTTTCAAATCGCGGACTGGGATTTAACTGCGAATTTTATGGAAATTGCGAGTCGCGTTAGGCTGCTTTCCGAAAACATGCGTTCAAGTTGTACCTTTCTGTGGAAATGTAACCCCTATTGACTAAGTTTGAGAATAGGTAATCAGAAAATGATTTCTTCATTTCATGTCAACCACTGATGAGCTGCTCACAAGTAGCGGCAAGAGATAAAATCTTATCATACAGCGAAAGGATCCACATTCTTGGACAGTAACGGACTGATGGTGATTCGCACCTCGCGTTTCTTAACTTCTCCAGATGGTAGAAAAGTGGTTCCGAGGGTGCCAGTCCGCAGTCCGTCGACAAATCAGTCTTCCACCGTTCTGATTAACAACTTCTTCAAAAAATGTCCTATATAGCCATTTACTTTTTTGCGGGAAAACATATCTTCCAAACTCATCACCCCATGAGTCTTCTTGGGGTTGAGAATAAAACGAGGGCGAAGCTTTGATCATCCATAGCAATTCAGCTCTCAAGTTCCCAGAAGAGAGGTGGATATTAGTTGAGATGAGGCCGATTTGCTTTCTAAGATGTGTGCTTATCGTCTTGCTTTCGATGCTTTGCAGTGTGGGGTACACATGTACCTCAGTTGAATCTATGGTCGAGGGGCAATTCCGACGCCATTACATGCTCACCCGGCGAGGAGCGCCAGGGAACATGGCTAGTGCCTACTTCAGAGAGTACTTTTTTCATTTGGTTGGTTTTGTCCGCCGCCATGCTCCCAAAAAAGATCGTTTGGGCAGCGTTTGCTTGGACTATCAACAACAAAAAGAATTTGAGCGGGTATACGACCAGGAAGCAATTGACAAAATGATTAAGTGGATGTATTCATTGGACCCGGCGTTGTTCTTTCTTCCCATGTCAATGTATAGCGATGAGGATCTTCATCCTTTCAGCCCTGAATCATCTCGCAGCATTTCCTCTCACTGGAAAGCAGTTAACAATCTTCTTCAAAAGCCCGCCTCAGATGTGCACAGTGGCATGGAGTTGAGGATTCCCGGTGGCGTGAAATTCTTTTTTGACCCTGCCCTTAACGAAGCCTGCGAGAACTTAAAGCGAATCGATGATGGGATATCGAAAACGGTAGATGCCGTTAAACTGTCTCACGAAGTTGTTGCAATTGTTATACGACTGAAACTGCTCGGAGTCCCAGACAAGCATTCATTGCAAATACTGAAACATCATGCGGCATTCACATTTAATAACATCCGCTGCACTCGAAGGAACACAATCGGACTCAAAGTGACAGGCGTGTACATGCCGTGGTATGAGGAAGCCTTCAAAAAGTTAACAGCACACTACGATATTTCCGCTGTCCCTGAAATATCGATTCATGTGATCGAGAATCGGTTTAATCGTTCTATCACAGTTTTGGATCATTTCAAAGGTTGGGGACAAATGCAGCTAATTCATTTTAATGAAGAGTCCATGGCAATCCGTAAAACTCATCTTTCAGATATTTTGTTTAATTCCAAGGTGCTGGAAGGGTTCCGGGAAAATATTCGGAAGACAACAGACAAACGGGACAATATGCGACATAGCCTCCGTACCGGAAGAATGAGAGTTTCTAACCTTCACCCAATTTCAAGGCCACAAAGTTGCAAGTCTGGATATTTCTATTATAGTAACACAGCAAGTTGCTGCCCACAAATATGCAATAGCATTCACACATTGAAGACCGTTAGCCCAAAACTCACAACACCATCTTGCTGTAGTGATTCTGCCAACGGGTCTTTATTTTTTGCATCTCGGTTTAAGGGAGTGTCAGAGGTTCTCCTACAACGATACGGATATTCGCCACCTGAAGCCATAGATGTCATGAATAATTACTAATGTTTGGGACCCCAAAAGCTCTGAGATTTGTAAAGGACAAAGGCAGGAAAAGTCGATTTTCTTATCGCTGTTTCGTGCTGAGTTGCATTAGGACCGATTAGACATTACAGATACCTATGCTTGCTTTTATAATATCAAAAATTGGAAAAGTATACTTTGCAGGAGTCCTGTTAGTGCACAGATGTTTCGCGTTCTTCTCAGACCTACAGTTTTAAACTTATTATAGATCGATACCCAAAAAGGGACTTAACTTCGTTGTGGTGTTCTTCCTATTAATTCTCCTCAGACCTTCTCCATTAAGCTTTACGACTTTATTTGGGACCAATGTGCCACTCCGTCCAAATGAAATTGCTTCAAAGTGCAGTTCACTCTTATTGGTCTTTATTTAATTAACGGCAGCTTTGAGGATATGCATCACAGTATTTGCAGCAACCGAATGGTGACCACTGCACTCAACTATGGTGCACAATACTGCAGGCCTGAACTTTGAGGGAGCGGTATTGCTGTCCACACCTGCTCAAGTGCAACCGCAAGTCACTTTTTTCCTTTTGATATCAAGGTTCCTCGTTGAACGTAATTTACTTTGAACTTGCGGGAAGTAACGAAGTTTCGCACCACTGAGAGATGGGTTTGATTCTTTTAAAAAAGCGTGTGTTGCTCCAGGGACAGCTTTTTTTATTATTTCTCTGCTGGAAAAATAATCTTGAATTTTGTCCCACAGGTGCCAGCACCGACGCAATTACGGGGTAAATGTCTTGCAGCTCTTTGACGGAGCTGCACGGTGACGATGAACGTTTTCGCATCTTTTGCGCCCCACCATTTCGGCCAGAGTGCGGAAAAGTGGACAGTGCTTTACCAGTTGGAATGGTAACCGTACAGCGAATGCCTCGACATGATGAACCCCGTGGCAATTATGCATATCCACGGTTTTGGTTCGTTCTTGTGAAGCAAACTCTGTAGCAGCTTGCAAAATGTTTCATTTCAGTACGTCATGATTTCGCCCTCGTGAAAAGACATACTGTATGGTAGGAATATGACGGACAAAATTAACGGCTTGCCTTCTTGCCCCTATCGCCCCTTCTCTGAGGCGACGACGAACATAGCAATGGAGATGAAGACACATCCCCCAACCTCCATCCAATCTGTGGGTATCTCACCTAGGACGAGTGCGGCTATGAGAAAGTTCACGGGAATATCAGAGGATCGCAGCAGGGCTGCTCTCGCGGCGGTGGTGAGCTGGATGCCGCGATTAAAGCAAGACGCGCCTGCAAAAGCAAACAAGCCGATGGCAAGCAAAGGGGCGATGTGTTCGTGTGGGATATTAGCCAGTTGAACGGGTAGAAACTCTGAGTGCTGCACGGCGTACAAAATTATGGGGGCAATCATAGTGCCGATGCTGATCGCAAAGACAATGGTTATGAAATGGACGTTTCCGTCGAGCTTGCGCACAGTAACAATGGAGGCGCCCGTGCAGAAGGCTGCGGCGAGGCCAAGAATGATAGGGAGCGCAGTATAGGGCTGGGAAGAAGACGGGAGGAAAGCGGGGAGCCCCACAAGGAGGGCACCGAGAAAGGTGAGGAAGAAGGCGAATGGTTGGCGTGGCGAGAGCGGCTCTGGAGAGAGGAAGTGGGCGAAAAGCGGTGAGGTGGAGAACAGGGCAACGGCGAGAGATGTCGGGAGGCGGGAGAGGGTGGCGTATTTGCAGAGGATGGAGAGGGAGCCCAGAAGGGCGCGCAGGGCGAGTTTGAGGAGGGAGGTGCGGGTGAGGGTGGAGAGAAGGGAACGAGTGTAGAGGGTGATGAGGAGCAGGGAGGAGATACAGAATTGGAGAAGGGCGCGGGAAAAGGTGATGAGGGGGACGGAGAGACGGTGATTGAGGACAGCGCTTCGAACGGAGACACTCATGGCGGCGAAGAAGACAGAGGAGGAGAGGATGAGGGCGGTCGGGAGGAGAGCGGAAGGGGAGAAGGGCAGTGTGTGGTGTTTTTTGAGAGGCTTGAGGGGGCTGTCGGCAGAGGAAGGCGGGGATGAGAGCGCGTCCTCTTCGACGAGGAGACCCTCTTCGACGAAAAGATGCTCTTCGACGAAAAGATGCTCTTCGGGGACAGGATAGAATTCGGAACACATCTGGTGTGTGTCGTAGTGAGGGATGAGGTCATAAAGTGTTGGGGCAGGGGACTGTGGTTGATAAAGACGAGCGGCGGAAAAGTAGTGCATTCTTTAAAAGCCCTGCATGCTTTACCTCGATTCAGTAATATTTGAGGTATGGATAAGGTGCCGGGGCGAGAGAAAGAGGTATTTCACGTTTGCAAATTTGCAAACAAGCGCGTACTACTGTACACGTATGATGGAGGTGGTTCAGAAGTACGCGCAGAAATATCCCAGTCACTTCGGTAACTGCGAACATCATACCACCTCCATCACACCTCTGCGTCGTCGGGGGTTTCATTGGTCGGTATGCAAGCGCATGTACAATCCCGTGCTTGACGGCAAAGACTGCGACTTGACCATACATACATAATGGATGCACCCAGTGGGTGCATCCAGAAAATAGCACTCTAACACTTTACCATTGTATGATAGTATCGGCACAATTGCAGGACTTTGATTTAACAAAAAGGAGTGAGAAGCATAATTTAGCTTGCTGCACAAAATTTTGCAGCGTTATATGTCTTCGAATCTTACGTGGTGCAGAGGCTTCTTCACATTTGAAAGTGTGTATCCATCTCGTGCCTTCACAATAATATACCTAAGTTGCAGAAAAAAAATCAGCCAATGACCGCTGGAGACTGTACAGCACTGGAAATACTCGTGCTCTTCTTCACGAATAATTCCCAAGAATGCGAACATGTCAGCTTGGACGCGGAGAGACATACCGTATGCCGCACACAAGTACAAATGTGTATGCGCCGCACACAAGTCCATAGTATGTACTTGTGTGCGGCGCATACACAGCGCATACACAGCGCATACACATATGTACTGTACTACTGTACATACTGAACGGCACTGTACCCTTGGTGCAGAAAATTCTTTGAATATATAATATGTCGTGTCCCAGAAAACGAGTGACATGTACAGCACATACAGTAGTTCGTCACTGTGGTTCCGTGAACTCCGATGCCCCTCGATCCCCGAGGGAGCGGGTGGCCGTCGGATACTTTATTGCGTCGCGACTACGGTATGCCCTATTGGCTATGTCTTATTACTGTGGTGTGCTGTACTGTCGTCTGGATGTAACCACAGTCACCCCGTCGGCCCATACTGTACCCTTGGGTACTACAGTACCAGCCATGTTTGTTTATCGATGCAGCTTTTCTCACAGCCCCTCAACTCTGCTTTCGTGGTTGCCATCGATGTAATCGCCTCGCTCCTCGCATTGCCTTTCCTCCGCTGTCGAACCCCAGAGAGTACAGTAAAGTTACTTCTGCTTGGTGTATATCCGACTGGGGCCGGCCCTTGCGTGAGAACAGCCTTTTTTCGCTAAAAAAATACATGGAAGCGCAAAGTTAGAGAGTCATTCTGGAGAACATTTCCTTAGCTGACCTGTCTTTGTCAATAACATCTCGCAGAACACTGGGATAGCAGTTGTGAGTGCCCTAATAGACGTAGAGCGTAATACAGATTCAATACCCAATCGCCTTTATTAACTGGCGTTTTCGATTTCGAAGCTATTTTAATGCAGTAGCTTCTTTTCCAGACATTTGTAAAAACGATCAGGAACAACATCAAGTTTTCACTAATTTCTTCCCTTTCACATGGTAGAAGTCAAGTACGGTGGTGGGAGAGGGTACCTTTCTCCTTCTTGTCGAAGCGCATGTCATGAAAGAAAAAAAAAAAAAAAACATGAGCTACTGTACGGTGTGCGAGGGCCTTCATTTGCCTCCAAGGACACCAGCCCTTAATGGCAAAACACATGAATTATTTCCCATTTTTGCGGGAACAGTTTCGCGATTTCTTTGATATATTTGCGCTCGGCAATACCGTAGCACCTTGAACAACAACGGGGAGCAGTCCTTTTTCTTTGCAAGGCGAGAGCTCATTACAACTTAAATTGTGAATTGTTTCTGCAAACTGTGTCTGCTGTTTCGAAGGCATCAAAGAAGCAAGGCTCTGAGTATGCTCGAAAGCGTTTCTTTTCGAAACGCGACTGGGACGGACGGCCAGTTTTCAAGGGCATGTGATCTACCACAGCGCATAACTAAGTCGCGGTAGAGAAGATGTCTTTCCTACTCTTATCGAGCATGTGCAAGCCCAGAAAAAGACGGTTAGCAAGTGACCTTATGTGAGGCCATCGCCGGTCAGACTCTTGGTAACGGACTGCATATTCTCATTCCAATCCTGATAGGCCTTGAAAAAGGCACGCTTTGCATGCCGTGTGGCTTTGCATGCCGTGTGGCTTTGCATGCCGTGTGGCTTTGCATGCCGTGTGGCTTTGCATGCCGTGTGTCTACCGCCGCAGCGCCAACACCGATGTACTCATGGCGGTGCCATAAAGTACATGAGGAAAAGCTACTGCCACTTCACAAAGGGATTCCGGTTGCTACAGAGTAAAGTCTCGATATCGTGAACCGAAATGTGGCGCTTCCGAGCAGCCCATTGAGTTCGCCTTACCGAGGCAGTTCACGGCGGCGGAACTGCTCGTGTACACGTGTACCCGTTTTACGGGTACAGTATGATTTGGACCACACCGGTGGAGACGCTCTTAGAGCGTCTTCACCAATGCCGATGATACGGTCACAGGAACACAAACTCACTTTCCTTGACTCTGTCCATCGACGGGCAACGTCGACGGGCAACGTCGACGGGCGCAATTCCATATCTGGACCACTTCACATTGTGATCCAGCCTTCCTTTTCTTTTAATTCTGCCACATCCAGAGTCTATATCAGAAGAGTCAGCTCTCGGTCAAGCCATTGATCTTGGATTAGGGGATTTTGGGGCATTTACTGGCATTGAGCAAGATCAATTTAACGGTGATTCAGATAGTGAGGACGATCGCTCTACTGTGCCAGCGAAAGACCGGACATGACGCAAACCGTCGCTTGCTCGGTATCGCGGAACATTAGAAGCTCTATCTAACGAACTCAGTTGTATTATGACGGACGCGAATCTAGTTCAATCGGGGCTGCCTTCGAGCATCAAGTCACTTCTGTATGAGGAACAAAGCCGCCGCGTAAGGAGGCTTCAGGGTTCGAATCTGAGGCAAAATCGTATGGATGGCTTCTGTAGTCGTTCATGGTTCGTTTCTAGTGCGCATTTCGGCCTCGATAAAGTGAACTCTGGGGTTTTCATGTTTTTGTATGTTCGTGGTATCGCGTAGTTCATTCTATAGAGTCTAGTTCACGTTAGAAATACGAAAACGTCGATTCTGGGCCAAAAAGCGGGGTGGCGCCTCCCTCATAGTCCTTCGGTTCACTGTACCGAGACAGTTCATCATATCAGGTACGCAGCTTATCGAGACTTTACTCTGTACCGCGGTGCAATGCGGCTCTTCGCGACTCCCCTGCACATACAAGTATGCGGGCGTCTGCATATGTCTGCTGTGTACAGCTCATGACGTAAATTACACTAAATCTAATGACCTTCCCGGCAACTCTGACCACTAATGAGGTCCAGAACCTTCATACAAATGTCTGAATTTTGGCATGTTGAAAATGTGCGTTATTCAAGATTTGTACTACTCAGAAGTGCACTAATGGGCGATCACCTCTCTGAACGCCTTGTTTCCCACGTACATTATAACAAGTTTGGGCCAAAATGTTGGGTTGGAATGGACGCCATTCCAGTACATATTATGTGTAATATACATAATATTATTATACTGGAAGACTCCGGAAATCGCAAATCGCAAGTTGATTCGTCCTTTTTTGCGATTGAAGCATGCCCAACACGGCGTTTTGTGCGTGTCAAACGCACGATTGCTTGCGAGGCACCACCCCTTGGGAGCATCACCAGAGCATGTACGGTAAAGGTGCTTTACATGTACGGTACAAGTACATGTTCTGGTGATGCCCCCAAGGGGTGGTCCATCGCCATTTCGACAGGCACTGTACCGTAAATTTACATGATGTACCTTTCGATATGGCGATGGTTGAGGTATGAGAGGGGAAGGATACAGTTACTACGTGTAGCGATATTGGACTACATTTATAGATGGCACTCCGGTGCATTATTTCAACTTTAGGTCGGCGGCGACGGCCGCTCTGTGACCTCGCGCCCTCCGCGATCTACAAGGGTGAGCGCGGTCTCATAGCCCGAGTAAACTTTTTACCTTCTCAAACTCTCTTTGTTTGTCTCGCGACTAGAGATCGACAGTACCAATTCACAAATCTGACAGCATATCAACGCAGTCACTCCGATTCCAGAATCGAATTTCCCTCTAGGGGGTTCAGGTTGTCCAGATCGCATCCGAGAAACTCTACTGCACTGAGAGCCGCAGACCACTCTACACCGAGCAGCGATCTTTCCGCCTCCATCTCAACGCCCCCTCGCTTTGCCTCCACCTTTGTGCCCCTCGTGTGTCCCCTAAATCTCGGCGTTGTCGCCGCAGTCCCTTTTTCCCCGCACGAAATCGCTATGACTGATGAACTTCAAGGCCTCACATGTTAGCCGCAAAGTAGTCTGCCACTGTATCAATCTGTTTGTTTGTTTTTCGCAGGCATGTCGGAAATCTTCGTATCAAAAGTAATAATATTGCACGTGTCCTATCTCTCTGCTGTATTCCGTAGACCTCCACTATTGCACTGTAGCTGCGAAGCATTTCCAACCTCATAGAGCGGTGTTCTTGGACAAAACAGGCAACCCGAGTCCCACCTCACTACAAACGCTGTACAGCCCGTTTCTGAACATCTCTTCCAACTTACTCTTACTGGTCGTTCCAAACACTTACCACTCCCGGCTACGATCATCACGAGACAGGCGGCCCTCAGTTCTTCTACTTCACACGGACGGGACCAGTGCGCCTACAGATTTCAATGACGACCCACGCTGACCTTCTTCACCGAATTTCTCCCGACGACATTTTCCTCAGCGCATCAACTGTACCACTCTGCTGCCGCGCAACATGAGTCCACCTTCAACTCTACCCTTGCCGCTCGTCTCTTCCCCCAATCCACCCGATTCAAAAGCAACGTGGGAGACCACTCCCCTTCTCCCGCCCGTCGAAGACCCCGAACCGTCCTCGGAACTAACTGGATACATCCTCATGGCATTATCCACCCTGGGCTACTCAGGCATGTCCTTCTTCACCCATGTCGGTGAGAGCAAGTACGGATTCTCTCCAGTTTCCAGCATTTTCATTCGCTCAGTGTTACACACCTTTCTCACTGTCCTCTACTTGCTCTGTCTCGTTGACATTCCCCAAATGTTTGCTCGGTTCACACGTCGCCAACTCTTCCTATTGCTTGCCCGAGGCGTCATCGGCACAATCGGCATGCTCTGTGTCTATATCAGTCTTTCAAAGCTTCCCGTCGGCGACGCAATAAGTATCTTCTTTTGCTACCCCGTTATCACTATGCTTCTGTCCGGCGTTTTCCTTGGCGAAACCATCACTCGTATGGATGGTCTTACCGCCCTTATCAGCTTCACGGGTATTATTCTCATAGCACGCCCGGGCTTCAATGACCCTGAAAGCCTCATCTCTCACACCGACCGTTTTATCGGCTCTTTCACCGCTGTTGCCGGCGCCTTTTCTGCTTCCATCGCATACGTCATCGTTCGTGGACTCGGAAAGAGTATCCACTACGTAACCTCTGTTTTGTCTCTCTCATCACTTTGTCTCCTCGCTTCCGTCCTACTGGGAGGGAGTATCGGACCTGCGGGGATGCAAGAGAATAAAAAGGGCGTAATGTGCATCACCCTTGCTGCGTTTTTCGCTTTTGCTGGGCAGATGTGCTTGAACAAAGGTCTGCAACATTGTAGAGCAGGGCGTGGTGCTCTCATTCGAAATGTCGACGTCCCCGTCCTGTACATCCTCGGACTACTATTTCTTGGAGAGAAGATCACATGGTTCAGCCTGCTTGGTACTTGCTGCGTCCTCACTGCCACCGCCGTTATTGGTCTCAGGGCGATTCGCGCTGCCCGTTAGACCAAGCCCACATGGCCGACAACACCTTTGGGTGAATGCACTACAAGTATTTATCCTCTTCATTCATCGAAGGGCAGCTTGTTTTGTAACACCCCAGTTTTGATTTCGTGAAAAGCGCCAAGACGACCCACTGCGTCTCAATATTTCTGTACTGAGCAAGAGGATGTAAACGTCTCTAGCTCTCATTCGTTCTCGTTCCTTTTTTACAAGCCGCACACCCTGTGTTTTGCTGAAACGAAGTATAGCAATACGCGTGGAAACATCAACGCAGCCTTTTGCGACAGGCCTTATCTGGAGTTTTCCGCTGACCACAACTCATCATGGTTGTCTCAAGTCTGAACAATGTAGATCAAGTGGTCTGTGATAGAAGGCGGAAAAGGCTTGAAGCGGGAAACGAAGCTCATATTGTACAGTGGGACGCGATGACTAATATTGAAAACTGTTGTACGATGACCGGTATGCGGTGTTGTCGTGATTTCGTTGAATGTGTACCAGGCAAGGCCACATGCATCGATCTTATCGATGCGATGAAATCCCCCACTCCATGAAACTACAGCCACACCGACCACTCCGGGCCGCACGCATAGATATCCTCCTTGACAAGTAAAGCTCGCTCATTGAAATCCTGGCCACCGTTATCACAGTGAACATGTCATAGATACTTCAGAGCGAAAAATAGCTGGAAAGGTGTTGGGCAAGGCTTCAACAATGTAGTGGGTGATGACGTGCGCTAAACAGACTTGAGTTGGATCACATGGCATCTTAATCAAGCTGTATCCAAAGCGTGTTCTGATCGCGCATCTGTGCAGCCGCACACTGCAGTTGCGGAACAATGCCATGGACTGCCAACACTCCGCCCTCCTTCTCAAAAAATTGTGCGATCAACGCCTAAATTGCTAGCAAATGGGATACTGTTGATGGTGCCCACAGTACAGTTAATGAATCCCAACATTCATGATGGCTCTCACCAAGTGCATTGCATTGGTCCACGTCGAGGATCATGAAGTTTTCAGAGGCAGTCTCTTGCCGTGGCATCTTCGTCATCAAAGAGCGGTTGATACCTACCGTACACTGTCTTCTGCCGCGACGAGAAAGACCCACGAAATGTTAAACCGTTGGGCAGAGACCCGTCCTCTCTGGAGAGGTTGAGAATTTCTCCCTTGACAAATCATATAGATCAGACCAAGAGTCTTATCCCTTTCGGCAACCTCGCGCCATGCGAATAGCTAATTGCTCGAGCCAATCTCTCTCCCTCTTGTCAAAACCACTTCCCTGGGCTGTTGCGAATGCTACTACCTCTTTCTCGCTCGGTACCAGATACACAGCCCATGTACCCTTCGACAAAAAAGGCAGAGTAATGTCAGGTGGAAGGACCGATGTGTCATCGATGTAAACGGCACGCTTCTCCTGTGCCACTCGAGCGACTGCTGCACCTGCTTCCGAAGCCCCTTCTGCGAGCCCAGAAGCATATATTGTCTTGCCGTCGCGACAAATTGCAAAAGCAGTTGCACTGGTCAAGTCTGCGCAAACTGCTTGCCCCCATGAAACCTCCTCACCAACGTCGTCGATTCCCCCGCTCTTGGCCTTAACGGATGATTCTGTTGTAGTGATGGCTGCCCTGAGGGAAGAAACCCCTTGTTGTTTCCCTGCTGGTGCCATCTCCTCACGTTCAGTTGAAATATCAACCAATGCCGTGACGAGGATACCAATAGATGCAGTCAAAGCAAAGCCCTCTGACACCCACAAGCTTCGTGGAATAGCGTTTACGGAAATGGACAAATGATTAAGTGCGAGAAGAGTCACTGCTAGCGCGAAAACAGCGACACGCAGACGAGGGCCTCGAAGTCCGGGAATGTAGAATCCACCTCCTTTCTGAATTGCCTTTGACGGATTTTTGTAGAAGGTTGGTTTGACCTTCGGTGGGGGACCAGATGATAAACGAATTGTTCGGATTCGTCGTGCGGAAAGAGGGTGGCGTTGAGATAGATTGCGAAAATGAACGGTTGATGTGCGTACAAAGGAAAGCGTAGACTTCATGGTGGAAGCAGAGATGTGTGAAAAATGAAGTGCCTGTTCTCTCGGTAAAGTATTGACTTGAAGATAATGGATAATGCTGTACCACCCCCGGAAACAGGGTAGAGGAATATCGATAGTGACGTTCACTCGCGAAGTTTGATGCTCTCCAACTTAACTCGCATACATGCAGACGCGAAGATATGCAGCTGATTGAGGTAGCACGCATGAGCTCAGGAGAACGGTTGAAATTTGCTAAATTTATTCGTTTCAAGATATTTCCGAAGAAAACGACTCCTCTCTCCTTGGGAACCAGCCCCACATCAAACCGAAGAGACTATGCAACCATGGCTTTTGTGACAACCACATCCTTCTCACGAGTACGGCCCAAAGACAAGTTGACAATGTGTGCCCGCCGGTCACCGAAGCGAGCTCCTCGATGGACAAGTATGGCCCGTTCGCATCCGTATGGAAACGGTGGCCTCCCGGACGAACCAGACTATACCGGCTGGGACAGGGAGGCCCTAATGAAGGAAATAGCCGAGGCTGAGGCCAACTTTGTACCGGCGGATCCAGATGGGATGAAGAAGTGGGTCTTAGTGATGGCAGCGGACATCATCCAATGGAACAACAACTTGTTCAAAGCGTCCAAGGAGCAAGGCTTCGAGTGGGACCTTAGCGGTATAAATGTCGTAGCCATCCACGAGAACATCGCTCGTAAATGCATCGAGCCAGATACGACTGACTTGTGGATTTTGTTGATGGGAGAAGATGGGGTGCTCTCTTTTGGTATTCACGACAAGGACCAGTCGGTGGACGAGGGCGATGAGGTGCTCCTGACATTTACAATGAAGGACGAAGCGCTGCGCTTTGCGGATCAACTGATTGCAGAAGGGATGGATCCCAAGCTTCGGCTAGTACCGATCCCGGCATTGAAAGAGTTCTGCAGGAAAGACGGGATGATACTCGGCTTGGTGCCGGCGAAGACATTAGTAACTCCTGGCCAGTTTGACAGAGCATTTTAGTTGGTAGCTACTGAGCCTGATTTTTCTCCTGCAGCACCTTGGTGGTGTCTTGCAGGGAGGAGTGGATGCGTTGAAGAGCGCTTGAAGCCGGCTCGCCGTGTTCCCGAATCATATTGGTGGCGTCACGGATATCGAGCACAGCCTCGGAGAGAGCGCCGCGGCGTTGGGCAGTGGTGTTCGCTATTCCGGCCAGAGCAGGGACCGCCCGGGATTGCGCGTGGGACGTAAGATAGTGCAGACCGACGGAGGGCTCGTGGGCGAGCCGGACGAAGTACTGCGGGACGGTTTGCGACAGCCGGGTCGCGGTTGGTTGCGGTGGGGCCCCCGAGGTGCGAGGAGGAGGTATGCGAGTATGCGGAGTTGTCATGATGATACGGTAGACGAAGCAACGTGTTGTAGAGCTTTCAGAAGGTATAGAAAAGCGACTGTTGCCGAGGCTACCCTCCGAAATCGAAGTCTGTTTGATCCACTGTACTTTTTTTAGTTCAAGTGCTTCTCGGCACCTGTGTGTACACGTGTTACACGGATTAGTGTGCCACGCTTGCTTTCATTACTATACTTTCATTACTACTGCTTTCATGACCTTGCTCTGCCAGCGGAAACCTTCAGCAAGCGTAACATCGGTGCGGTGAGCGTCACACTCACTATTTTGTGGCAAAATGCACAAAATATTTCGCCACTTGAGAGTGGCGGGTTGGACATCATCTCTTTCGCACTTAAGCCCTTGGCAATGACATCTTGAATTGCACCGGGATGTCAGTTTAAACAAATTGAAAGACGAAGAATTCAATGATGCTTAAAGAACGACCTGATTTTTAGAGCTATACACTTGGTTCGGAAGATATCAAAGAAGCATATCTTCACACGTCCTCAACAGCGCTTCTTCGCCAGACTTTTCCACGAATAATTGGGAGGGACGGCCAGTTTTCACCGAGATGTAATCAGCCGCCATGCAGCACTCCGTCCCAGTCGCAGGGATTGCATCGTGCAACCTCTGAGACTGGGACGGAGTGTAACTTGCACCTACTCCGCTCGAGTAAGTGCAAGTCCAGAAAGAGGAGGATGACAAGTGACCTCATCTGAGGTCATTTGTCACCGACACACTAGAGTTGTACGCATGTCACACCATTATATGGCGAGTAGCACGGAGACTAAATTGCACTTTCAACTCCTCTTGCATTGACATACCAGCCCACATGGGCGCTGTTGTACATCACTTTCCTGAGCAACATGTAAGCAAGCTCTTGAACCTTGTTTGAAGTGAGCAACCAATATGTGGTATCATACAAAGAACTTAGTTGTCGTGTACGGGAAGTGCAATAGACCCGCTTGTCAGTTTGGAGTCATGAACAAATTCTTGACCTGCTGCTTCTGTCCGTCGGGTCACTACTGTTCAGTACTGACAGTACCTCAGAATTGCTCCAAGCTATGGTCAGAACACTTCTGGCATCAAGTAGGACACTCATCTTCAAAATCCGGTATCTGTATAAATAGCCCAGTTTTCCAAGTGACGCTCTGGACCATCAAGGATATAAAAATGTTTGGTTCGATGCGTAACCCTCCCAGTACCATTGGCGTCTCCTCCCTGTAACGACGCACTTAGTTGGCAAAATTAAATTCACAGAACGCAACGGTGCTTTCCGCCCGGTCACTTTCAAGCTCTCCATCTCCCATGAATCTCGTATTTCCAACTCAGAAAGCTCTGGGCAACCGGATAGATTGACAGACACAAGATTTTCGTATCCAATGAGCTTCAGCGTGGATATTCTGGACCCGTTCATGTCAAGTTTCCGTAGGCTGGGAAGCTGGCATCCAACTGAGTCAAACCCAAATATTGTAGAGAGAGACTCGGGACTCAATTTGTTCACACCAAAGAGATTTAATTCCTCCATGTTGTCAAATCGAAGAGTCTCAGAAACGTCGGACATTTGCCAGTCCGAAAGCACCCCGCATCCGGAAAGGTTCAGCTTGCGCAAACCATTCGCAAATACATCAGCTCTACCGGAGATCCTAATCTTTCCCAACTTCGGACACTGCGATAAGTTTAACTCCGACACACCCTTTCTTCCGTCTGGGATATCAATCAGACATTCGTTGAGGTTGTTGCAGTTAGTGGCAGTCAGCTTTTCCATAACGTTGACTCGAGTAGACTTCCAGTGCAACCGACGAAGGTCATTGCATTTTGTAATTGTAAAAACAGCTGGCTTCACATGTTGCAGAACCTGGGAAACCCCTTCTCTCCGCACGTTTGGGCACCGCGCCAAAATGATAGATTGCAGGCCTTTACATATCCGTTTATCAATAGACGGGTAAGATGACGCGAATCCTTTCAAAAGCGCCTCGTCAATAGATGTATGATTCTCCAAACGTAGCCTCTGTAAATTCGGGCATTGCTGCAATATCGTCTTGAGATCCGTCAGTCTGAGACGCACACCCGCAAACACAGCATTTTCCAGCGATTGTGACTCGTAATTGGCACAGACGTGAGACGCCACATCTTCCATGACATCCTGATATAACCAGTTCCGGATGACTAACGTGTTCAGGCATGGAAATTGTTGCAACATTTGAAGCAACTGGCGGTAGGTAGGCGGAGCCTTCCTTTCGCCTTTTTCGCCGACGTACATTCTGCCGAGGTCGACGCGGGAAATCCGAGCGATGAGTGCCTTCCCCACGCGACGCCATTGGGTGCAGACACCCAAAGCCGCGGCAACAGCTGCAGGGCCGGCGCGGACAAGAAGCTTGGCGAGGACGTCGTCAGGAAGAGGGGGGAGCCGAACAGGTTGTGTTCCTGCAGGTAATGGGCCGGAGGAGGTTGTAGAGAGGTTGCATCGCTGTTGCAAGAGAGCCGGCGTTGCAGACTGTACGAGCACTGGACCGGACACTTGGGCAGCGCCGCGTGCAGATGCCGGGTGGGAACCAGGGACAGAAGGGTTGTGGATAGCTCCCTTTGCTGCATCTAAGATGACTATCTTGGAGCTTGCGTGGCGCCGTTCTGCTTTGGGAAGGCGTTGGACCTTAGACCGCCGATTGTTTGGCATGGTGGTGATAGGTTTCGGTCTGGAGGAGAAGACGACAGGGAGAGTGATGGTTATGTGCCAGTCCGCTTTGGAACTTCTCAATGCAAGAACACGTGGCGCTGCAAGGTTGGCTGTTACCCCTTGGAGACCGAATAATCTGAATGGCCACAGATACCGTAGGAACAATATGGTTCGCCTGCCTTGCTGGTCTGGGCCGCCCAATCAGCGCAAATTACCGCAGCGAAACGTTTGCAGACGCTTCACTGAAATGTTTCTGTTGTCTGAGAATACCCTTCGAAGGGTAGTACTGCCCTTCGAAATTGTGCTCTCATCCGCGAGAACATGAAAACTCAACAGAGGTCGTTCAAAGCAGGCGTCCTCTTCCGAGGAGCAGGAACTCGTAAAATCAGATGCTTGCGTTTGAGTTGTCTGTATGTCAATAGGTCGGCCGACTGTGGCTTTGCAAACCTGCAAAATAGCGTTCACAATGTCGCAGAATTGATCACACTATCTCTCGAGTTTTGGGATATTGGAGCCAACCTCTTGAGTTAGCGACACGACCAATCTCAACGCAGTCGTATTTGGCGACACTCCAGCTCCGTACATAATACTTTCATTTATCCCTATTATCTATGTCACACGGGACTTAACGGAGTCACAAAAGAAACTTCAAGCGCCACTCGAGGCAGGACTTATCGGACAAAATAAAAATCGACGATGACGCAGTACCAGGAGCGTATATAATGGAAGACATTCACAATTGCTTTGAATTAAGACAAAATGCGTTGCTTGATCCCCTTCCCTAACCGCAGTCTTCATCCTTCTAGCCCACCAAAGTCATCTCTGCACTCTACGAGCGTTTCTGCAAACGCCTTCCATGATCGAGCTTGAGCATCATGCTGCCACGCCAGCTCCATAGCAAGATCCTGCAAAGCCTTACAAACGTCATCGTGCATCTCAGTTCTAAGCCGCCTCAACTCGTCCGTCGTGGAGAGGGCCACTGCTTGATAGTGCCGCCGCACATTCGCAAGACGTCGTGAGGCTGCGCCCACTTTGTTGACGAGTTCTTCCATCCCTTCACCACTCGACAGAGCCGCATTCGGAGCCGTCTCCCACATGCTCCCAGCTCGGCTCTCTAAATGATCGCGCAGCTTAGTGTACACAGATAGAGCGTGTTCGTACGCATCTCGCTCTTCCCTACGAGTGTTCATGATACGCTGAGCCCCCTTGGCTCGTTCTTCGTAATCCCGAAATATATCGCTCACACCGCGTGCAGCTAGAACTGCCGAACTAGGTTCTCCAAGCGGTCGTACGCTTGAGCTTCCGGATACTCTCTTTCTTAGATCACTCAAACCTTCTTCCAAATGGTCGCCCTGCTGATCCGTCCACCCGTCGCTGAAAGGTGGTATCTCGAGCTGAATCGTTTGGAGGTAAGCTCCTAACTTCCCACCTTCTCTCTCGCCTAATTCGCGGATCGCGCTTTGCATGGTGCTCATTCCTCGCATTTCTTGTGTTCGGTTCGTGGACACTTTCTGGACAGCATTTCGAACTGTTGACAGCGACGTCCCTAAGTTTTGTACATAGCTATGCAGCCGTTCCAATCGCGCCTCCGCAGAATCTTCTTTTTTTTTTGAATCAGAGGGTGAGTCACGATTGAGAAACCAAACAAGACCTTTGTTTACCCTTCGTCCGGCCTGCCACAGAAATTTTTCTCCCCAAAAACCGAGGTTGCCAAATGTGTTCGTGTCAGACTTGTCTCGCACGCCCCCAAAAAGCGCAGTAGTCACCGAATTTTCATGACTGATTGGTTCCAGTCTAATCTTCCGCCATGCATCCTCTCCAGTCGCACCCAGAAACGCTAACACTTCGTCCCCTGTCGACAGCACAGGATGATTTGCAACCCGTCGCAGAAACTTTTCTAGTCCTCGGAGCCTCTCTGTGTCGTACGTATAACCATACCTGAGCCGACCCGCCAATGCCATTGGTGGCAAGGAAGGCACAATGACACCTTGATATCTATGTCGGAGACGTTCTTCCAGCCACGAAAAATCTGCCAACGAACGTTTAACCTGATAGTAGTCTTGTTTCTGGGAAGGGCTCTCTGGAAGAGATGGTCCAGGTTTCCGCGAGGAACCCAGTGACCAATTTTGCCGTGATCGCACTTCATAAACACCAGCGGCAGCTCCCTTCTCTGCAGACGAAGGTTTCAATGTTACATCTGACCGCTCGACAAGGCCCGCCGCGAATAGAGGACTGTCGCAACCATCTAACTGGGGATCTCCAAAGCCTGCCAATACTTCGTGAATATCCGTTGCGAAAGCCTTCCCTGCTGGCGGTGCCTCTGGAGCTTGCGCATATTCAGCTACCGCAGATATTAACGGATTATGTTGTGTGGTGGAGCTCAACAGACAACGCACTTCTTCATGAAACACACGCCTATCTGCAGAACTTCCCGGAAGGGCCTCCGGTTTTGCCGCCTTTCCCACTCGATTTGAGTAAAGGGTAAGAGGATCAACCTTAGCGGATTCATCCTTAATAGCTCGAGGACGTGGGCGACGAGGTACCTTGACGGCGTCGGGCAGAGCGTTCAGTGGGTCTCGACGCAATGGGTGCTCACTTTCACCCAACTCCATCGTTGGGATTCAGTGGCGGATTGCTGGGCGCGCACGGCATTTCATGTAGAGAACTACGGCGGTTGGCTTAACCCACCGGGCGCAGATGGATACTTTCGGCTCAACTAGCGAGAGAACAACAAGATAGGAGAGGGCTATCGTGATTTTGAAGCTAGGCGAAAGTGTAAGACGTGGACCGTGCTGCGGAACTGTACGTACAGTACTGGGCGCGGGTACTGGGGTAGAAAAATTACTGACCTGAATTTTTAGGATTTTTTGTTGAACAGAATTTGACCACGAAGCAGCAGCGAACAAATGGAAATGTGGAAGCAACCTGTTTATTCTGTATTGGCTCCATTACAGACGAAAGGGATATGTGCACTGTCACTGCGGTACTACAGTATATGAAGTACCGCTGCTTGCTTTGCATATTACCGACTCTTGGTCCGCATGAAGCAGGACAGAGCAGCTCTAGAGGGAACGTTTCATATCTCTTGCTTTACAAAAGCAAAGTAAACATACCGCACAGGCACTCTATATGAACGCTGTTCCAATCGTCTTGTACAATTCCATTGCTGAGTATCGCGCCAGTTTATGTTTTTAAACATTTTTCTGGATGGACCTGTTTGCAAACTGTATACATATAATTCGACGGTATCAATTATGCGCGTCTACATTCCTGGCGTTCATTCTGGAGGCGACAGAAAGAATTGAGGGCCGTTTCTCTGTCATTCATCCCCCGTTGGAAGAAGACATCCTGAAGCTTTGCTCGAACTTGTAAAAAATATCTGGTTGTCTCTAAGATTCACCTTTAGTGCTTCTAAACCTGCGCATGGCCTTTCTCCTCGCACGCTTTCTTTCATTGCTTTTCAAGTTCTTTTGGATCTCAGAGATGTGGGACTTTCTTTTTGTGTTTTTCTTTCGCTTTTTTCTCCGAGGTTGAGGTATCTTTCTTGGCACAGGAATATCCTGTGACGTATCTGCGTCAATCACTGAAAACTGGGCATTGCTCCCATTATCATGAAGGAGTCTTGTGTCTAGACAGATCGAAAAGTTGTTTCGCTCTTTCCCTGTTCTTAGTATCTCTTTTGTAGAAAGCAACTGCATTTGTGCCAAAGTGATATTAGGCTTTGCCTCTCGTCTCTCCAAAATGCTTTGCATTAGTTTTGAAGTGTATGTTATAGATAAGAGTTTCACGCCAGTAGCCTCCATAATTACGCGAAAACGCTCGTCATCCAAGTACCTGCTGTTCTTGACGCATGCCCCTGGTAGCACCAAAAATAAAAGACCATGGGGTCGCAACAGTCTAGAAGCCAGAGAAAGCATCAAGCCGCGACGCCTCGGGCAACCTTCGAAGTTAACGCAGAGGGAAAGGCATATGACATGGTATTTCTCCATGTCATGGTTCAACTTCTGCATGGCAAAGTCAAAAAAGTCTGCTTTGATGACTTGTTTACCCGCCTCGCTGTCTTCCGGGTTCAAATCAATAGATGTCACTTTTAGTGAAATTGTGGTTGCCCTTTTGTTGTCGGCATTGTTTCCCTGTGGTACAATCAGTTCGCTCGGAAACCGATGCGCAATTGCTCCAACATCTAGCAACGAAATAGTCGAATCGCACTCTCCCAAATATCTGTCGGCGTATTGCGGTAATTTCTTCAGCACCCATTGCGAAGAGTCAAAGCCGCCGCCCAGACTCTCACCAGCTCTGGATGCGTTTTGGTACTTTTCTATCCCGATCATGGCTAACTGCGCCTTGAGCACCTGACGCATAGCTTCTTTGCTGGCCTCGTTCGGAAACTGTGGGCTGTTGTCGATGGCAACAAGATTCTTCCGAATCTCATGGTACTTGGCAATGACCTCACTCCGCGAAAGAGATGATATGTCTGGCGGAAACTCTGACGTGAAGAAAGCAGATCGGGGAGCGGACCGCTGCCTTGGACGCCGGCTATTGCCAATTTGTTTCATGAGAAGTCGCTTTGACGATCTTCTCTCTTCACGGCTACCCAACAGGGCTCGCAGAACTACTGTGTCTCTTGACGTTAAAGAGCCATTTAAAATAAACCCGCCGTTATCACGTTCTGAAGAGCTAGTGCTCAGGCGCCAGGAGAAAACGCAAGCCTACGCACAGTAGTCACAGACAGGATCCTAAACTCGAGCCCGCTCCCACCCGTTGAAGTCATGTATTGGGGTGGCGTCTTTATTGCAAAATGCCCGGTTTGACGCTTTGCGCCATGAGCGGAAACTCTGGACACGTATGTCCGATATAGAGGGCGGAATTGGGGCATGTAGACCGCTGACCTTATGACCAGCAATGTTCCTAATTTCAATGGAAATAAGCATTTTATGACTGCTTGCAGCGCTGTTCAAAGCAAAAAACAAACCGCAACGTTCCTGGCAACCGTACCCGGTTTTCGTAAGTCTTCATTACCTTTCGCCTCAGTTTCCTCCCACCCATGGGCTCATTCATCCCTTTCCGTTCTCACCACTCATTTCATCAAACAAACGTGGGGCTACGCGAATGTGCTAACCTTGGTGCTCTGCCTCTTCATCTTCTCCGACATGGAAAATGAACAGTTGCATGAGTTACCTGGAGAAGGACAGCTTTTGCATACCTCAGACAAACGCCACTCTCTATCGCCTTCAAGGAAACCATTTGCCAACCGCGAACGTGACAGGGATTCGGTAGCCCGAGACAAGGAGCGCTTACTTCGCTTTCACAGAGAAGCGAAATCCTTTCTCACAAAGGCTTACTCTAACGATGACGATGTTCTCGTCGAGGATCGCTTCGACCACGTTCCGACTGCAGGGGATTCTGCAGACGATTTTCTCGCGAAACGTCGCATAGAGATGGACAAGATCCGTCTCGAACGTTTCCACGCCCAGGCAGTATCCTTTCTCAACCGCGCGTATAACGATGAGCCGGATACACTTGTAGTCGAAGAAAGCCTCTCTCCGGACCGAACCGCCGCTCTGCAGGACGAGAGAGCTATGCTTCAGAGTTTCCATAAGGAGGCCATGAGTTTCCTAGATGCTGCAGCCGTCAGGGCGCCGGTCACAGAAGGCGAACGTGGCGTACACCAAAAGGGGCGAATTAGTGCAACAGATGAAACCGAACACTCGTCACGAAAGATTGAAAGAGACAAAGCACGACTAGAACAAAACTATCTAGACGTGATGTCGTTCCTCAAAAGGGCAGACGAAAACGGGAAAGAGGCCCTAGTCGAGGAACAGGAACTGGAACCGCACATGCTCGAACGCATGCAATTGCAGAAGTATGCTAAAGATGCCATGTCATTTTTGGATAAAGCCTTCCGAAACGAAGCCAGCGTCATGATCGGTGATGAGGAGGAGACCAGTAGCCCAAGTTCCAAAACAACTGCAGAAGGCACAGGTCAGGACCAAGACATTCTTTTGCACGAGGCCAAATCTCAAGAGAAACGTAAAAGGCCTAGTGCCCAAGTGAGGCATTCTTCTGCATCACGTGACGTCCCTTGGCACGCTGAAGAAGACAGACAAATTGCCGAAGACCGGGCCGCGCTTGAACGCTACGATGAAGAGTTCGGTGACTTTCTTTCCAAGGCATACCTGGACGATTCAACAGTTATTGTGGACGATGGTGACAGCGACACCGCGCCAACAGAACAAAGTGACGGCGTAGACCATATCGTACCGGGAGCAATTTCTGTGAGCTCGCCCAGTCCTCCCCCAGAAGACTTTATTTCGGAATTGCACTTCAGAACTCGAAGTCCTTCTTTGCCAGAGCACAGGCAAGCACAATCACAGGCCTCACCATTCAGCCGACGTTCTCCTCTGCAGGACCCAAATTCCGTCAGCCGAAAGGAAGTGGATGGTGCTGTACAAACAAATTCAAGTTTCGATCCCACGACGGGAGAAATTCGCAGGAAGAGAAGTGTAAATATGCAGTATCCTCGGTTCTCGCCAACTTCTTCGTCGAACAGACCACAACACAAGCCCCCAGACGGGAAACAATCCGGTCTATGGCGTAATAGGCCTGAGAGTGCAATGCGTGATGGCAGAGAGAATTATGATAGAGTTGTCCAATATAACTCGCAGCTAGCAGCAGATGAGGGTGCGGCTGCATCCAAGCCTGACTTGAACCGTAAGGCAGTGCCAACGGAAGGGGTTACGTCTGACTTCCTCAAACAAGAAAGCAATGCAAGTCCAACACCTGAAGGAGCAAGTCCTCTCGTGTATTTCGCGTTGGACGAGGATAACAATCCGCGCCAGGGATGGTCAGAAATGCCCTTGGAAAAGTCTTTTTATAGCCGTCTTCCTCGCGGTTCTACCATTAAGTTGCGCCCTCGGGCGACCGAAAACACGTCAAGCTCCAATCGAAGCGAAAACACTCGGAATGTATCCCACGGTATCAACCAAATCCTCTTGAACGACCTCCGGCGTGTAGAAAAAGAAAGGGATGCTTTGATTTCTGCCCTCGAAGAAATTTTAAACGAGAGAAGCATGCTTGCTCAGCAGTTGTCTGAAATGAGAACAACAGCACTAGGCAAAAGAAGAGGCCGGGGCGCAGGCAGCAACATTGCAGTTGATGGCGGTGAGATTGATCTCGCAGCTGAGTTGCGGGATGCCAATGAAACCATGGCCAAATTGACTGAAGAAATGGAACTGACCCTTAGGGTGTTGGATGCAAGATATCACGAAACGCTTCATCGCGCTGAAAAGGCGGAAGATCGTTGCGCCCACTTACAAGCAGAAGCCTCTCAAGTAGAAAGAGAGCTATCGAGTGAACGGAAGCTTGCGACTAAGACTTTATCTGAGCAAAATCGTCTGCTGTTGTTGGTACGGGAGTTAGAGCAAGAGGCGGCCATCCATAAAGAGGCGGCCGCATCGAAGGACCGTGATCGAGCAGAACTTGCAAGGCTCGAAGCAAGCGTCAGAAAGTTGACTACAGAAAATGCCGACCGAGAAAAACATCTGAAGTGGCAGCTGGGCACTCTGCGATCCAAAGCTGAAGAAGCAGAGAGTGCAGCGGCTCGTGCCGAGCAGGATGCGATCGAGGCTACAGAGGTCGCTAAAATTGCGGTAGAACGTTCTCAAAAGATGTTTGAGTCTGAGCGTAAAGCACGGCAATATGCCGAAGCGGATAAGCAGACTGTTGTAATGGAGTCAAAAGCCTGGGAAAAATTTGCTCGTCAACGAATGGAAATTAACGCCAGCGGGGCAGGCGAAGATGAAGATCTGGAAAGCTCAAGAGCAGCACTGGGATCGGACGGAAGCGCATCCAAACATGGCAGCAAGGAGAATCCGAAGAAGAAGAGAGATGGTGCCAGGGGAAGTAGAGGAGGTGCGGCGGATAGGACGAATAGTCCCTCACTTTTAGAAGAGATGAAGAAGAAGAGTTTGAGCAGATTATTCAGGTAAGCACGGGTCACCGATTGCGATGCCGATGCGTTACGGGCGCAGTTCAAGTCCACTGTAACTGAGAAGATAACGGACGGAGTCGAAAACATACATGGTTTGTTTGAGTGCTCTTCATGGGATCATTTAGTGTGAAGTTATGGCAGAATCTCAGGTTGTGCGAATCGGAGATGGCCTTATGAAAGCAGCCGCTCGAATCAGACGAAGGGCTTTGTCATCATAGCCCCCGGCATGGATATCTCCGGCCTTGTTTGTGCAAGTGTTTAGTGGAATCTTGCGCAATAGACGAAGCTCACCTATGACACCTGCCAAATAGGAGTTTAGGTGGACGATATTACTGCAGTCGAATGTCAGTGTGTGTGTGTGTGTGTGTTGTGTGTGTGTGTGTGTGTGAAGGTTCGAACTGCTCGCATTATTGCCTCGTCAAACAAACACTGTCTTCACTATGTAAGGACCGATGCAGTGAAAGGATTATCATGTAAACTGGATGTAGAGCAAAGCGATAAGAAGATGGTGGACCCCTCAACACTGCCGAAGCCTCATTGCCCATAGTAATATAGTACTTGCGCTTCACTGGTTCTGTAGACACTTTCTCATGTTCTACCAGCCACCGTTCCTGACCGTACACGCATACCAGAACTAAAATGGTCGCGCTGTGGTCATCCACATCTGCCCATGTCTGGAATGGCAAGCGTTTGTGAGATGGTATTCAATCTATACCGCCTGCCGAAGTCTAGGGAGTGGCAGCGGTACGCTCGATTCTACGACAGAGTTCCTTCCCAGCTCTAAAAAGACAATACTTAAACATGCCAGACCAAATCCATGCCTTCGGATGTGCGTGGCTCTCGAGATGGGTCACATGAATAACTACGTTCAATGTGATAATTCAAAATTGTGGAGCCCCCCCTCCCCCCCCCCCCCCCCCCCCCCCCCCCACACACACTTTCTATTGCCTAATTGGCGGGGGCTCCTGCCGCCTTCTTCAACATTTCTCTATATGCCATCGATACCTTGTCCTCATGGGTGTCGGGAGAGACTGCTCCATCCCATTCATCTCTAACCCACAGCAGTTCATCTGGTCGCACGCGAAGAGTTCGTGCTGATTTGTGGCGTCTCCAAATAACTCCTGGTGATGGCTTTCGGGTACTCCGCAAGGGCTTGGTAGGAAGGGTTTCTTCATTTGCTTCATGGCTTCCTTCGTTCGGTTGTTCGAGTTCTGTACCGGCTTCCGTGGATTCTGCCGCTGCGACGGATGTCGTTATTCTTGGTTCGTCCTGAAAAAGCGAAATATCCAGATACTCCTGCACGAAGTTGTCCATGGCTTTCTCCAGCTGGGTCCGTTTCATGGGTGCGTTCAGCAGCAACTTTCTGACCGCTTCTTGTGCGTCATCAAGGTCTTCTATCCGAGTCGTAGTCGAACCATCCCACAACGCCACTCCGCTGATATGAAGCTTCTGTGTTGCTCCGCGATGGCTCAGTGGTGCCGGCTTCACACAAAACAGCACGCCCTTTTCGAGTTGACCGCCGCAAGTACTTTCGTCTCGGGTTTTGCTTCGAGAGAAATACCCAAACGACTCGCTGGAGCCATCCAAATCACCATGAACATGAACTCGAAGCCGCAAAGAATCAAGATTCACAGACAGTGAAGGGCTATACGAGTAAGGCTGCCGTGCTCCCAAAATGTTCAGTGCTGCATGCCTCCCCGTTGCTCTCGCGTGATCTGCACTCCAACGCATCACTCTTGCATACTCTATTGCTCCGGATCCAACGCTGAGAGAGGCACCTGCAGCATAGACATCGCTCGCTACCGTCAACTCTGGGCTCACGAGAAAACCGCCATCCTCCATTCTTGCAGCTGTTACATAAAGTGGAACTGGTGCTGATAGGGTAGGAGCAAATATCACATGATCCGTGCGGAAGTCGACGATCGAAAAAGAGTCAAAAACCGTGCCAATATGAACCTCAGCTTCTAAAGATCGTTCTGGCTCCCCAATGGGTTGACGCGCAATCACGTATCGAACAGCTGCATACGACAAGGATTCGACTCCTCCTTCGCTCGCCCACAGCAGACGTGAGAGAATGTCCTGGGCGATATATTTGGGAAAGTAACGCGACATGAACCCGGGCTCTGCGTAAGAAAAGGTGACATCTGCGCCCCGATTAACAAGCTCGGCGCCTACAGCGGTCGACATCCAACCGCCTCCCACAACTGTCAGGTGTGCCCTTGCTCCTTGCGAACCTTGGGCTTTCTCCAAACCCTGCTTGACTATAGAATCAATGCGATCCCAGTCTGCCTTTGACTGCGCCCCACTTACCAATTTTGCAGCATCACGTGAGACGACTTTGCCAATTGGGGCTTGAGGAACTGAACTGCCAACGGCAATAAGACATCTCTCAAATCCAATCTCCACGCCGTCGTCCAAAACGGCTACCCTTGAAGCTGAGTCAATCTTTTTGACACTTCTCCCAATTAGTATTTCAGGGTTCCGAACAGCGGTAGATATTGACGAAGACAAGGGGACAAAAACACTGCCAATTCCATATAAAATCTTGGAACAAATCCCTTCTCCCGGAAGACTGCTTGCCCCCGTGTGTGGTTCAACAGCTTGACCTCCTTCTTTCCTCCAGTCTTGCGACACCAGTAAGACGTCAGAGGCTACATTTTCGTCAACGAAAACCTTCAATGCTTCCTGTGCTGCTATGCCTCCGCCGCAAATAAGGTATCGATAAAAGGATCTCGTAGGTTTCTTGACCGTACCATCGTATGACGCCCTGTCTTCTGCTAACGCCCACGACCCGCCAACGCAGCCCAGTGCAAGCCCAAAAATCGAAAGACGCAGTCCATGTCTACTATCAACAAAGCGTGCAATGTCCTTTAAACGATGATGCGGATGAGATCGGAGTCGCAGCGAGTCCAGTAGTGCCTGGAAAGGCGAGGCGGTTCTGAACATGGCGTATGATGGTCATGCCTTCTCCAAGTGCTCCCAGAATTTTGCAGGGTGTCAACCACTCTTGGTAGGGTGAGGCCATGCCCGTAGGAAAGGAAAGGCATGCCGAGATAGGACGAAGTTGAAGGCGTTGGCAGTGCCCGCAAAAGAGAACCTCCCCAGTATCCCTGTCGGTACCGTAGTCATACCTAGTAGCCGCGGATGTCTGACTTGCTTAGCAACATGCAAAATTTGTGTTCATGACTGCCACGTGTGCACCTCACAAGCCTGCAAGCTTCCCCCTTTCTCCCGATCAGAAGTCGTGATCGACTCAAACAGCACACCTGTACGCATACTGGATAAAGAATTCTTACTGAAGATACCCATGAGTTTCCATTCGAACGCAAGGCCGTAATGGTAAGATGCCACAACACCTGTCGATGGTACGATAAAAATGGCATAGTTACGAGTTTTGAAATGACTTCAGAGTGCCAACTGAACAAAATGTCTGTCACCTACAGCCATGCTTCTCATCCCTTTCTGGATTTCAGTGAAGCTCAACTTGCTCTTTTCATACCGGACCAGTGATTGAAGGGCTTTCATATAATCTCGTAGGCATGGATTTACATGTCATTCTTGAATTAAGAGGAGGGAAGAGAAGGTAGTACCCTTCAAGCAACTAATTACGGCGAAACTTTTGCTTTAACACTTTGTTAACGACGAATGCAGAACTGGATTTCGATTTCCAAGAACGGCACAAGTCAGCAGCTGTGTTTTGGATAAATGATATCTGGGTTCAATACGATTGTAAAGACTAAGTATCCGCGGACATATGGATAGCTTAAGAACTACATCTCATCTACCAGGGCACTTTAACTATCATAAATTTATAGGGCCATAAAATACTCCAGCACGTCTACAAAGGTTCCATGTACATGGCTCTTCTGTCATTCTTGTGCACTCGTACTAAAATTTTGCGTGACCCGGTTTGGACCCAAGGCGTTTTCTATTTCTTGTATGGGAACTCATACCTCTGCGAGATGCCCCAGAACATCAACGTAACTTCAAAGAAACTGAAGCAGGACGTTTATGGCCCTCTTCAGCTACAGCTAGAAGCACTACAGTAGTCTTCTTTCAAACTTCTTTCAAACTTACTTATTGGACCATAGACGAGGTTCATTTTCAGCGCTGTACGTGCAAGACGTTCGAGGCCCAAGAAAGAGAATATGTAAGGCTTGAAGAAAACACAATTGTCATCTCAATAGTATGTCCAGCTTCTCGCTTTTTTATTGTTGCCATATTGCCATTTATGAAGTAGTCTCGGAGACGGAGAGGCTGAGAAGGACCTGAAAGGCTTTCTGCAATGAGGCATACTCCGTGGTTACCACCCTTCGTCATAGGGTTCTGCGTTGTGTTTGCAAGCTTGCGACCAGTGGATGCAGCTGCGTGGACAATAGACAGTTTCAAAAATAGCGACGGGAGCCCGTTCAGTGCCATTGATGGTCCGACCGTCATCCAACAAGGGCCTGATCTTCGTTACTATGTGGGAGCGAAAGGTGTCGTTCACGCGCTAACAGTTGATAGTGAGTATTATGTCTTGGACATATGTACCAGTCAAGACTTTGGTTGGGATCGAATTGTCCTAGGCATGGCATTCGAGCCTCGAAAGTTCGAAGAGGACGATATCTATTTCTACATTGCAACTTCAACTCTCAACTGGGGGGGTGGAAAGGATGGAAACCCTGAGAATAATCCGGGCGGATGGAAAAACGGAATGGTACAAGTGATGCGTTCGAACACAAACGGGCATTGTCTTTCCGTAACGAAAAACCTTGTGACAGGACTTTCTGTCTCTAACCACGATCACGGAGTTAACGGTATGGTTGTTGGCCTCAACGGGAAACTCTACGTCCTTAACGGAGGCATGACAAATGCTGGGCATAGCGAAAAGGGTGATGGTGATGGAGGCGCGCCTGCGACTCCACTATCAGCGGCGCTGCTCGAAGTAAACTACAACATCGCCGGCTTCAACGGTGATGTGGTATACGACAGTGACGATGGGCGTGTTGCAAACATCATCGGCGACCCGGACGTGAAGTTGTATGCTACAGGACTCATGAATGCGTTCGGGATTGAACTCCATACAAATAAAGAAATGTATATGACAGACAACGGCCCCAACCCGGGGTATGGCAAAGAAAGCACGACATGCTCTACAAATCTTGAAACGCAACCGCACTACCCTGACAAGTTCCTGTTGGTGAAGAAATCTGCGTGGTATGGGCATCCCAATCGGAATCGCGGACGTCAAGACCCCAAGCAGTGCAAGTTCCAACACATAGGTGCTCAAGCAAAGGATCAGGAAGCGGCATTGGAGCAGATTGAATCGTCAACGAACGGAATCACAGAATATTCTGGCAACGTGCAGGGGAGGGAGTTCAAGGGAGCAATGTGCTTCGCACGGATTGGTTTTGGGGAGCCGGGTAACTCGTTTGCGCTATTTCTCAACCGAAAGGGGGATGAGACGACAAGACGAGAGGAGATTATGGACGAAGGTGGGTTGGATATGACGATGGACCGGTACGGCAATCTAGTGGTAACAGACTTTATGAATCGGCAAATCAAGGTGATTCGGGCGGTGCACGCTGAGGAGATTGCGAGTGCCGAAGTTGCTCTGTACACAGTGCATCCTCGACGGGGACCACCGGAAGGCGGGAACAAGCTGTGGTTGACGGGCAAATTTGCATCGCGACAAAACGTTGTTGTTTTTGTTGGGTCACGGATGTGTGTGGATGTGGAGATTGTAAGCGAGGATACGCTTTCTTGTTACGCTCCGCGCGGAAGGGCGCACACGTCGGTGCGTGTGACAGTGGGGGTTAGGAATATGTTCTCGCCGACGTTTGGAAGAGGTGACTATTCGTACATGCGGCGAAAGACGAATGGCGGGCTTGCTCCACATATGCTATGAGCAGAGTGAAGCATTTGCAGAGTGAAAGGATTGACCTAAAGGATGGTAAGGCTTTGTGCTTTTATAAAGGTATGCAAGCTATATGTATACAGTTGGATTAAAGTTGACAGTTTATGGTTTGGGCATATCGGTGTGCCGGACACGTAGGGAGTGATAGGAAGAGGTCCGTATGGCTTGAACGCTGATAACGGAGGCGGGATTTGGTGAGGGCGACAATGAGCTGGTCGAAGTGATAGCGGACTTGGATGTTTAAATCAGGCCTTCTAATCCGATTTCCGTCTCTGGATTAAGTGGTTCAGTGACATAGAATTGTTTGTATGGGTAGGCTACCGATATCCTCATTCATGCTGCAGTAAAAAAACACACTGTTGGATGTCCCTCGATGTGCTGATGCGATGACAATATAGCTTGGACCGGTTTGGGTCACGTTTGTTGACATGTAGCGGTTCGAAACTGAACCGACTACAGGTCAGAGAGTGAAAGAGTTGAAAGTTCGAAAAAGAATTAAAAATCGAAATATTTCAATATTTCATCAAAAGTTTAAAATTGTTCTATAAATTCTGACTGGATTTAATTTGAATCATGGTCAAGCCTCCATAGCTCAGTTGGTTAGAGCATGGTGCTAATAACGCCAGGGTCGCAGGTTCGAGCCCTGCTGGGGGTACGTTTTTTTGACGATTGTGGATCCATCTCTACTCATATGCGCACGTTGAGCATTTTTTATCCTTTGGTTGATTTTTTCCCTACCGAAGAGCTGATGTTGCTGCTCATCCTTGCGAGGTAGCACTAAAGCCTTCTTGGTCACGAATAACCGTCAAAGGCCTGTCACCCTGACCCCCCCCCCCCCCCCCCCTGGGCAGTCGGCGCAAGGAAGCGGTGTGCGGCCTGAAGAAAATTCGGACAG